TGGTGTTTGAGCTAGTCCAATTTTCGTCAACTCGCGAAATAGCTGTTTCAATGTGCTTCCCGTGCGTCACCAAAGTTACTGATTGGCCAGGGTTTTGCTGTCCTGCTGCTAGGTTTTCACCCAAGACGACTGCAATTAATAGCATAGGTTATTGCTCTCCGCTTGGTTTTTGAAAAGAAATTTCGAACTCACTTTCAAGTCAGAAAGCCTTTTCTTTGAATAGTCTTCTGAGTTACATCACAGGTCATATATCCGGTACCCAACTTCCTCCCTCTTCGGTGGTATGGTAATAATCTATAGAGAACTAGTAACCTCTAGAGAAAATCCATAATCCAGGTAAGAAAGTTATCTAATGGACATGAAATCTTAAACGGTTCGTTTCAACCTTTCAAAAGATAAAGATATGTAAGGAAGTGATTACAATCCGATGGTAAAATTGTCATTTTCAAATCATTTCTAGCTTGTGTAGCGTAGTGGTTGAACACGCCCTGCAATACACACCGGATCGATTCCTGCATCGATCCCTCGCCCTAGGCTCGCAAGCCTTCCATTGCTCCGTAATCGATAAATTAGTACCAGACTTGCCTTGGAGAGTAAAAACGCGTAGTTGATATATCGGCAGGCCACTGTGAGTGAATATGTAAACCAAATATGCATTCAATCAATTCTAACGATGTTTTATGAAGTTGGATGCATGACATTTCCCTTAGGAATTGATCAACGCGAACTGCTTTATAGTTCATTCTTTATTGAGGCATTTTTAATGTTCAGCTTATTTTATCTCCTAGTTCATTTTTCTTTCCGCACCAGGTTGCTATCAATGATACTTTTTCTTGTAATCCAAAATTGACTCATTCACTTTTTCATCCCTCGATAGCCCAATCCAGTCGAAGAATGAATGCTCCACATAAATCACGCTCTTTGGAAAGGAAACTTTTTTCGTTAAAGAGGATAAATTTTTCACGTTTAGTACAGCAAAGTTCATGCCATGTGAAGTTCATGCCGTTACAATCTATCACTTACGTTTTCTTCTTCTCTCCTGTCCTCTCTGGATTCCGACATCTTTTGCCTCGGTTAACCGAGAAAAACGCTACGGCTCACGACAAGTCATTAATTTCGAAAAATTGGGTGAATCTAGTACCACTTATATAGTTACACAACACGGCAACCGAGGATGAAAAGTGCACCTGTCCATAGAAATTTCACTAACTGCCTTCAACACTAACTTCTTCTTTGGTGTCAGTTCTAACATCAGTGTTTCCGTTAGGGTAAAATCATAGTCTTAAAAAATTATTCTAGATTTGTGTTGTATGATGTATTCGCTATTGATCGATTTAAATAACAAGCATGTGGTTCTTCTACATCCTCGCCATTGTGGTACTTTTTCGACGGCAGATGATAATTCATTAATTATTAGAGAATTCGAGGCGTTGAGAGCACTATAAATTTCTTTGACACGCTATGATCCTTTTTCAGAAAAGTAACTCCTTACAATTTCATTTTAGATTTGTTTATGAGCGAAATTTTAAGAATTTTGAAAAAATTATTTTTCAAAATTTCAAGCGCAAGTGCGCCGCCAGTCGCAGAAATCCGCAATGCTTTAGTGAATACCACCGCATCCCTGTTGCACGAAATCCCATTGGTTCGTTTTCTGCCTTGTTCAAACTACGAGCACTGAAGAAATCCTTTTAGAGTAGAAGAGTCTGTTTTGCAGTCAAAAACTGTGGATTGAAATACCCTTCAACTGAGGCTTTATTGTTCATCGTTAGTAAGATTTAGGCATTTCCTTGAAACTCTCAGCATAATCATGCAAACAGATTTCTAAAACTGCGACCATAGTTTCATATAGAGAATAGAGTTTATAGCTAGCTCAGTTCACTTACCGTCACTTCGATGTGAAGCCTCATTTACGATTTCTATTTCGCTGAAGCAATTCTCTATGACTGAGTTTTTTCCTAGTAAAATAGAAGTGAAAAATATCGCAAGACGAGAAGAACAGAGCTACTCACTGAACCTGCACAAAAGGTGAGAAGAGTATCGAGAATGTTAGCTAAAAGTTCTCTACTACCAATTTCAAGGTGGTCGAACTTCAACACCCATAATGAACAGTTACTAGCTTCGAAAAGGAAGTGTCCCACCCAACGGTTTACCGCTTCATCGTGGCTGGGAGGTGTTCCTGGGTGTCGGACTGCGGTTTACAGCGGGGAATCATCTCCTGGCAGGGTCTCCCAAGCTGAGAAGGAATCCGGCGTTTCCATCAGGAAGCCTAGCTAGTAGTAAACCAATACCAAAGTCCACTACCGTACTGGTATCAAAGTCGCATGGTGGCAAACCTCCCTCTGATCTACAAGGGCTGCAACTGCCCGTGGTGGTGAAGACCTGGAGCAGACTTTAGCCAGGCTTGCCTCGAGATTCCAAGGAACCACAATGGCTTAGCCAGCAAATCTCCGAAAAATGGAAATTGTGCTGGGTTCCGCACAACCAGTGAGGACGGGCTATTCAAGTAACAAGTATCAAGAAAAGGAAGTGCCTAAGATTAATGAAAACTTATTCGACGGTGTTCATGACATTTACATCCATCATTGTTAATACCTACGCGGTAAGGAAATTCGTTAAACTATCGTGTGAGGAAAGTATGCCACTTTTTCTCACTTTCACCTGCTTTAGAAAGGCATTCGATTTATGTCATACTGAAGCTCTCATGAATACTCAGGGTTGCTACGATATCCTTGTTTCATTCGCAGAAATCCTTCATGACTTATCTTGCATGTTCACAAGTAGCACATATCACCTTTCTGTAGCAACACTGTCATAGATTTAAAGAGAGAGAGTTTCGGCAAGCCAGTATAATCTCACCAAAGCAGCTTGAAGGCACTCTTGAGAACGCCATGCGAGAACTAGAAGGGAAAAAGATGAGAATACATGTCGGTATCTCGCAGCTAGACCATTTTTGCCTTGCTGTTGACATTGGTTTTATAGCAATCATTATCCGTGCCAAAGTAATGCTGGTCGGTTTTAACAACACCTGTGGAAAAAGTGCTCCTTGATTTAACCTCAAAAAGACAATGTTCATGAAAAAAGGATTTCGCTTTGAGATCCATTTAGCCTTACCGGAACAAAGATCATCAAATGCTACAGCCATCTCTTCGGATACCAACGTGATGAACGATTTCGAACTATAAAGGAAAAAACGAAAGATTTGGTCATCTTGCAAGAGCATTAAAGAAGTAATGGATGGGATAGGAACGCACGGCTCCGTTCTAACCTTTAGGACGTTGCACTTCCCTTCTTCACAGGTGACAATAGGTATATATTAAGAGATCAAAATCAACCTTGACATAAGATGCGTTCACACAACAACGGGGCGACAAAAGCCATCACTGAGTGAACCTCGCGGGATGACATCGTACAATGTCAGAATCGAGGGCCGATAGCCAGACTTATTCATGGAGATCGCAGAAGAAAAATTCGATTGGTTAAGAGTGTCTCAAAGGATCTGAACCTGCTGCTGAACTCCGGTATATGACAGGTACGAAAAGACTTTATTGGCGCAATCTCTTCTTCTAATCACTTGACGAACAGTAAAAGTGGTGATGCATTTAGTGTCATTCTAGTCATACACAATCGCTGATTCGTTTTCCGCTCAATTTACTAACATCACATATCAATCTAGAGTTCGCAAATCATAAACTGGTTACGGTGAGTGCTAGAGACAAAAACAAAAACAGGAAGGAAAAGAATATTATCTTTTCATAGTTTGTTAATAGTCCATAGAAGGACAAGATTGACGCCCTAGACTTCCTCTTTCTATGCATCAGTTCTTCTGTTTTTGCTTTCTTTCGTTTTAGTATGACTTATTTTGTTCCTCATTCTCGTCACCATTCCATAATATCATACTTCTATTAATGTAGAATAATGCCCTTCCTCTTCAGATGAACCTCACAACGCAAATAATGCGCTCTGCTAAAAAATTTGGTAAGTTTAGCTTCCTCGATGAAAGAAACCTTTGAACTGACGAGTAAGATCAAGTTGTTCGTATCAAAATTGCTTTGTGTGTAAAGTTACGGAACCAGAGAACCAGACAATTCCTCCGTGAAACCACTCAGAACGAAGTTATGTTTTATTCGTTTGTTTTGTAACAAAGTCCTTTTCGTACTACAACGTCAGTACCTACGTTGAAGGTGCCAAGGTTAAAATAAGCTGAACAGAGTTATATGTAAAGAAAAATTAGGCTTGAAAGTCTTTTTAGTCTTAACTCTTTTATTTACTGCCTTTTTTTTCTTCTTAATGGCAGGGTATGTTGAGAAATATAACTCGTACGAAGTGCTGAGATATTTGCAAAACTCCGGGCCACAGTTGTATGCAGTGGGGAACGAACACGCGCTGTTGTCCTTACCGGGAAGCAGCGCACTTCACCGCTACACCATCCAGGTCCTTCACTTTGCATGTATCTCAGCTAGTTCTATCGATCTTTTTGCCATCAGCAATCACCCGTCAACGGGATTGATCCGGGGAGCCAATATCGGCATTGAACCCAGTTAAGCTGAGGCCTCGCTATAATCACAATCTTAACTCTTTTATTTATTGCCTTTTTTTTCTTCTTAATGGCAGGGTATGTTGTGAAATATAACTCGTACGAAGTGCTGAGATATTTGCAAATATCTCAGCACTTCGTACGAGTCTTTTTAGTGTCAAGATTATTTGGAAGCACTTGCAAATCGCTTTCACTTCAGTCATAAGTATGTTAACATGATTAGTGTGAAGCAATATCCATTACGTCAACCATTCGGATCAATCAATTGAAAATGGCTCAGAGATGTCCGCTCTATTCCATACCATAAACTAATAGTGGATAGCCCTTAGTCTCATCATTTGAGGAAGTAGGAAAAATAAGTATAGCTTATAATGCAAAAAAGCGACGAGAGCAACTTTTCTTCCGAATATTTAACGGCTTCCAGTAGACAGAATGATCGGTTTCAGCGCCTATCTCACTGAGCAGACCGTCGACAACGACAATTCTACTGGCGACAGCGGTGGTGCATCGACAGTTGCACGAACCGTTACGTCAACTTCTGACGACGAAGACCAGATCAAGGACTGAGGCAGGTGCAGCAAGCTCCAAAAAACCGGGCTTAATAATCTTCGACAAGGATGGTACTCTGATCTGCTTCCACTCAATGTGGATTCCATGGGCCATGGACACAGTGAAACGGTTACTTTCATAAGTACATAGAGTATCATTTATTTCGACTATTAAATTTCTTCTGCAATCATGAGTGAAAAATCAGGTTCACTTTGGTAGAAGAAAAATAAGGGTTACATAAAGGTTATCCTGCTTTAAAGAGAACTATAGCACCTTTAAATCAGTTTCGGTTTAAGGTTAGAACAACTGAAACCGGTTAATATGTGCAAGCCTTTTTCTTTTTTTGTTTGAAAATGGGATAACTATTGATTTTCTTTGATGTGCCAACTGATTGATCGATCGAGAATTACTGTTGTGACCAGTTCGTTAAAAAATGTAACAACAAGAAAATGAGGAATCAAATAGTACTGAAAGTCAGTGGTGGGTGTGTTTGGAAAAAATTCTCATGACACATTCACAATAGAACCGGTTTCTCGATTGATATCGATAAGGTCTCAATAACTCGAGCACTCATGTGGTTAGGAACGTAACAGGTTAGTAGAAATGCTTTTTGTTTACTATTCCAAAAGAACATGCATCTTTTTCCAGAAGCATCCTGCCAGTTACTAATTTGTTTAGAGGTAAATGAAGATTAAATGGAGGTTTCCGAAAAATTCGGAAACAAATTCAATATTCTTTAACGTATATGTGGCGGATGCAAACACCAGTAAAGCCTTAGAGAAAGAATCATTGGGTCCTATTCGGCGAAATCCGTTTTTCAGCTACTTCACCTTTTGAAGTGTGAGCCTTAACAAGAAAACTAATAAATCTTTACAAAATTGTGAAGTATTATTGGCATGTTGATTCAATACGTTTCATTTCAATGATTGAAGTTCACCATGAGCTGAAATACTCTCGTTCGAAATATTGTCGCTAATGTGTTAATGATAGCGTTTATAGGCTAGAGCAAGAAACAGGGCTGCTTTTGTCACCGAAAGTGTATCAGCTACTTGGAATTTGCCCAGTTGAAGAGAAGGTAGGACATTTAAGACATTATTGAAAAGAGTAAAAAATCGTGATATCTAATGACCTAACATAGTGGCGCTTGTGGCGCAGTGGTCGGAGACACCCTTCAACACACACGTGGAATCGATCCCCGCGCCAATGGCCCACCAAGCCTTCCATCCCTCCAAGGTCGGTAAATTGGTACCAGACTTGTCTGGGAGGAAAGCAGCAGTGGCTCGATACATCGGTAGGCCACCGCCGGTCATTGTGAAGGCCAGATACGCATTCAATTTCCTTGAAACTATGCTTAATGAAGTCGAATGCATGGCGCATCGCTTAGGGATTGATCGACGCCGCGAGCTTTATCCTTCATCCTTTTAAGGACCTAACTTACGATTAATCGCGCAACTACGGCAGTTATACTCAGGTGACATTTGTGGTTTTAAGACACAAAGCAAATACGACCGTGTATGTGAGCTAAAGTGCTAATCAGTCAATCAAGAGGATAGCCTCCATATCACTATCGCAATGGACTAACTTGCTCTTTCTACATTCTTATTCGACACCTGGATGCGTCACCGTCATAAGAAATCAGATGGGAACCAGTACAATTTTCAAATGATTGGTGTGCTGCTGACTAAACAAAATTTCTGGCCTGGAGTTTGAAGAAAGCCAATAAGTAGGAGCCGACCCGTCTAAATCAGGGAAAGGATTGCCATCCCATAAGAGTTCTTAGGAGTGCGGAGATTCCCGGAATAAGTACACTCTTAACTCGACTTATATAGTGAAATGGCGATCTAAGTGTCAAAAATTTTTTTGTGGTTTAGTACGCTTATAGTAGTGAGTCTCCTGTGGTGTAGTGGTAAATCCCCGATGGCAAAATCCGAAACAGGTAAAAAACCTTTATATTCTACAACGCATCAAAAAATCCACAACAACAAATTCAATTACATGGTTTTATCCTTAAAATCCTACCGAAATAAAGTTTCTCTTTTCCATGCAGTAGTACTGGATATCGATTAACTTTTATGATACCAACAATATACGTACAATCGGTTAAAGGTACGACCTGGACTTCTCGCCGAGGGAACGATGGAGCAGATTAAAGTCGAGATGCAAAAACTACTCGTACAAAATGGAGTCAATGATGTTCATGTGAGATTTTGCTTTGAGGTCTATCAATATTATCAGCCGTTTGAGTTGACAAAGATGCAGGAAAAAGTGACAAATTCAGAAACTCGATGTAGTCGAGAAATGCATCAAAAACAGCCAGTCTCGAAGCCCATCCACGCTACGAGCAATTCATGACATGCGATCATTGTTCAAAACACTAAGGAACAACGACATAAAAATAGCAATGTGTACAGCGGACAACCGGTGAGCATTCGGATTACTATTATAATCATACTAAAATTTCTTGCTGACGGCATTGATAGATAGAACTAGCTGAGAGACAGGCGAAACGAAGGACCCGTATAGTGTGGTGGTGAAGGCGCTACTCCCCGTAAAGGACAATAGTGCGTTCGTTACCCACCGCAGGCACCTCCGGTCCGGAGTTTTGCAAATATCTCAGCATCATTGAAGTTATATTTCGCAATATATACCCTGCCATTAAAAAGAGTAAGCAGTAAATAATAAGTTAATATTGTGATTATAACTACAACCCCAGCTTAATTGGGTTCGTTGCCGAATTGGGCTCCCCAGATCAACCCCGCTGACGGGTGATTGTTGACGTCAGAGATCAATAGAACTAGCTGAGAGACAGGCGAAACGAAGGGCCCGCATGGTTTCGTGGTGAACCGCGTTACTCCCCGGAAAGGACAATAGCGCGTTCATTCCCCACCGCAGACATTTGTCATTTCCGGAGTTTTGCAAATATCTCAGCATCATTGAAACTAAAATTTCTTATGATAAAAATTCAGTGCGATATATGGAAGTATTGCAGCGTTGGCTATAAGTGAATACTCGGTTTATAACAACGCATATATGCCTTTATCGCGATAAGTGAAAGCCAAAAATGTATTTAGAATTGGACACTAAGAAGTGGTTCGAGCTGAATAATAACAGTGTTCTAAAAGTAATGATGAAAAAATTCCTACGCATCCTTATCTTCTATTGCTAACGTAAATACCTTGGTGGGGTGGTGGGACTCCTTACTGATCACTTATCACACCCTACATTACACACAACCGACCATCCGCTGCTTTAACGCAACGGCTTGGATCATTACCCCTGTTGGGTCATTTAAGGATTACCCGGCACTGAAATGACGACTAAGCGATGCTCTATCACCAAAACGCAAATTCAATTGTTTTGAGGATTTCAAACAAACAACTACTTAGGTATAATGATCGATAAAGAAGAAGCTGTATATGAGGCGCCGTTTACATAAGTTTTCAGTGAAAAACTTTTAACGTGTTTGTGACAACATTTACGCTCCTGTTTAGAAAAAAAAATACCGCATAGAATCGTGGAACGCTCAGCGATCGGTTACATTTACTACAAAATCGATGCATAATTTCATATGCACATAAAAGAGTGCTTTCTTCCTAAATTCCGCTAATATACCGTAAAGTTAGGCAATCTAATCCGTTAGAGATGCCAATAACACTAGAAAAAACGTGGTCGTTAGCGTGATGCAAGACAGATGAAGAACTTTCAGGTGAAAAATGAACGTGTTTAAGACCAAAACAAAATGCCTTATCCAACAAAATTGTTACTTCAGTTCTTCATCTATTCGAAAAAACATCTGAATGAATAAAAATAGCTATCATAGGTTCCTTAAGGTGTACGGAAATGATTCCAAATGTTACCCTCAGTGCATTTTTTGTTATATGGGCGCTTTCGAATTCGAATCGAATTCACAACGATAGGATACGCGAAATTCACCACTATTTCTGAGAAAGAAAGTAATTCCCACAGCACACCTTCTATTAATATCGCTGTTGATTAATAAGTTATTGTTTACTTGATGAACAGACAATAACATGTGTTTATAAAAAACTTATTCCACACTATCTAAATTGTCCGTGGATTTCGCCTTCTTCAGAGCATAAAACGGTCGATGGAAGAGCATTCTACCAACGCAAACTCTTTCGAAATTTCGCAGCTCGTATCGTCTTTCTGGACGCGCTTGAGCCAGAACCTCTATTGGTCTATCGCGCTAAATTATTTTCTATACCATGTTTGCTTACATGGTCGCTCTTCGTCTAGTGTTTTATCATTTCTGTTGAGGACACCTGGAATGAACTATGTACATACGACAACCAGCAGGCAGATTGGTGATAGTCGTCGATGACGTGTAGATGTGCCCTCTTTTCTACAACAACGCAGTCTTCCTGGTCTTCCACTGAATAGGGACCTTGCATTCCAGGTTGATGGTTCCCAGACTACCGTGCTGATAACAGCTAGGGCAGATTTTTCAGGTAATTAGTTCTTACTCTGTCCACACTGGGTGTTGTGCGATTCTCCACCGACGAAATGTTATGTCGGATTTAGGAAGTGATAAGTGGTGGAAGCAAACAGGCGCTTCTCCCTTTCCCGCTTCTTTCTTCACCCTTTCTGCATGGCTTTGAATGTGTGGAAATGTGTTGGCGAGTGTAAACGGTTCGTGCAATTCTAGCATTAGCTTATCAACTGAAGTGTTTCTGGAGGTAGATGTCTCCTCATGGCTTTCAAGGTCTTCTACAAATCACTAAGATGAAGATATTGAATAAGCTGACTGTATTCATCATTTATGTTTTCAGTAGCGGCATCTCTCCAAACACTCACTACTCATGAGTTAAATAAATCTCAATTCACGATGGTTTTGAGAATCTGTTTTCCTTAATTTTGAGATCTTCTTTCATTTCCGCAGAAAAATGAATTTTTCGCGAAAGTCGTTGTCCGATCCTATACACAATTTTGGGACAAGAACGACAAGCAAAACCTCCGATTTACTATAATTTGGCCTCTTTCGTTATGGTGATCTCCGATTGAAGTCCATTTACGTCCTTTTCACTTTCGCTTTCCATTTTTCGTAGCTCTCCGATTTTTCATCTTTTATTTCCATTTATTGTATACATATTTTTCTTCTCCAATTTTTTATGTTTTTCGAAACCCTTTTATAAATCAAAGACTAGTTTTGAAAATTAAGCAAATAACCTAATAGCACAAAAGCGCGAGTCCCGCACTTCGGAACTATTGTTGTCTTTGCGTTGGACGAACTGTTTAGGACGAACACAGTATCCATGCTGCGATGGTTTAACGTTGAAGATCTTGTTGATATAGTTGTGTGTGGCGACGATCCTGGATCAAAGCCAAAACCACATCCTCACAATGCTGAATCCATATGTCGAGTTTTACAAGTGGCACCAGAGGTCCAATAGCGCTACATTCTGGTACCAGTCAACTTTTTTATATTTCAAAGTGCTTTTCACTCCAGAATGCCGTTATGGTGGGCGATACACTAGCCGACATTGGAATGGCTCGATCGGCCGGCCTAGGAACAGCTGTTGGTGTTCTTTCCGGTGTTGGTGGCCTCGATCACCTTGGACCACATGCTGACATTTTGGTAAGTATTCTTGGTATTATTCTATGCCCTCTTACACCTTCTTCGTATCGTTAGAAAACAGCTGAAAATCATTGTGTTGAAAAAAAGGCCTGACAGTAAATGATCCCAAAGGTTACCCTGGCATGGAGAGACAGAATTCTCCAAAATTCACAATTCATGTGCTTCAGCGAATCGACCCCAATTTAGGTTTTGTTTGCATTTCAGTAGTACAAACGATTGACAGCGTTTATAGAAGTAAATCAAACCAATCATCAAGAATTCTTAACTTCTTCACTCCTTTCATTTACGTATACAAGTGGTTTCTATTTCAGATTCCTCATGTAGGGAATCTCTTACCAATCTTCCTACGAGGTGAAGAACTCACGAATATGGCATAAAACAACTGGCTTGTTGTCGCGCTTTTCTTAATGTATGTGAGGTTCCCTCTAGTACATAAATCTCCAAATGCTTATAGTTTTTGAAATAAAACGCTTATGATAAGATTTCGACAGAAAAAAAATAATTTTCCGTGACAAGAAACAATGACACTTGTTTTCGCTAACAACATATGATATATCCCAAAGCAAATACTTCCCGAAAAATATAGAACACAACTACAAATATAGTCAAAAAGAGAAATGAATAGGAATGAATTCAAAGAAAGAATTAACACATGAAAATAAATTTCTACTCTGCACATAATAATGAAAATAAGAGGATGACTAAATCGACTAATAGCTTATCAGAATATATTTAATAAATATATGCAATGATATAAACTACAGACGAATGAAGAAAGGTTGTCTTTTAAAGAAATCCACCTTTGTCCGTAATTACACAACTTGCACGTAGCTCGCCGGGAATAGACCAATCTAGAATAGAACCGTACATTATGAAACACAACAACATGAACCATTACCCGTAAAGAAACAAGATAGTTCTAAGCCAGATAACAAAAGCTTGTTGCACTTCACCACTTTGTCCACACGTTTTGTGCTTCTATAAAATTAATTTAGCTATCACTTATTTAATACTTGATACTTGAACGGCCCGTCCTCATTGGTTGTGCGGGTCCCAGCATAACCTCCATTTTTTGGATATTTGCTGGTTAAGCCAATGTGGTTGCCTGGAGTCCGGAGGTCAACTTGGCCAAAATATACCCCAGCTCGTCACCACGACAGCCCTTGTGGATCAGATGGAGATTTGCCACCATGCGACTTTAATGCCAGTGCGGTGGTGCACTCTGGTATTGGTTTACTATTAGCTAGGCTTCCTGATGGAAACGCCGGATTCCTTCTCAGCTTGGGAGATCCTACCAGGGAGATGAATCCCCCCCCCCCGCCGTAGATCGGAGCCCGACACCCCAGGAACACCTTCAAGCCACATTGAGGCGGTAAACCGTTGCGAGGATTTAGCTATTAGCTAGTAATAATTTTACAAATACGAAAGATACGGGAGAATCACACCAAGAACTGCTTTTCTTTTTTCAAAAGGCCTGAATTCACCTAATGCTATTCCACTATGGAACAACGGTTCGGTCAGTTTACTTCATAAAGCGGAAAGCAAAACGATGACATACCTCTCCGTTTTTACGTCCAGTACACCAACCCAAGGAATCTGCATCTGTGAGGACTTCAATTGTTTCACCTTAAGAAAAAAAAGTAAAAAGCTGAAAAGTTTTTCAAAATGGAAAACTAAAAAATACATAAGAAAACAGGAAAGTAATCACTATGATGTACCTTTCTGCAGAGAAATCTCATCGTTTTCAAGAGGATTATAGTCATATAACACAGTGGCGATCGATTTTGTATGGAGCTCTTCAAAGTCACCATATTTTGCCGAGTCAGGTGTAGTCGTAGAGAGAGGAGGAGAATCTGAGCATAAAATATTACACTTTAACAAAAAGTAACATCAAGATGAGCACTACTTGCACTTCACATCAGTGGTCAAAGATTACCTCTGTTCTCCCACTGTCTGTCCGTATTTCGCTGTCCGAACTGAGGTTTCATTTTGTGTATGGCATTCTTGCGACTATCGAACGTATTTGTGTCCGTGTCACTATTCTAAATCACCCTACAGTACTATCTCAAATGATCAAAATGGACAGAACTAGAGTGAGGTTAGTATACGATACTAGGGTTTTTGAACGTTTACAAAAGCTTAAAACATTTCGAAACCGACTTTCTCTAAACCTCGGTGTGACTAATCAATATGTATTCTTTCTTGATAAGCTTGCACGAGGTTGATAAATATATTTATTTTCGGCTAACGTTTCAACGTCTTCGTCTTCCTCAGAGCCTCTCCAATCGAGAAGATGGATCACTGAGGAAGACCTGGCTCGACAAGAAGGCGAAGCTGCAACGTCGAGACGAACAACAATCATGGACCATCGACTCGGATCATCGGCTCTGAGGAAGACGAAGACGTCGAAACGTTAGCCGAAAATAAATATATTTATCAACCTCGTGCAAGCTTATCAAGAAAGAATACATATTGCTTAAAACATTGTTGCATACAACCATGCAGGGTAATCACGACACCTTTTGGCAAGAAAACAAGATAAGAAGTGGCTCTAATTCAGTTCTCATTGCTTCATTTGGTGAATCAGCACTCTTAGACGCTATTATGAATGTCTAACCTTGCCACTGTCACTACAAGGGGCCGAAATAGTAGCTGGCCCAGGTATGTCGTCAGTTTTCGTTATCTGTTTGGTCAGTATAACTGTGTTCGAACTTGTGCTTCCACTCTTTGACACAATCGTTCGCAACGACTCCGTATAATCCTGAGTATTATGAAGAAGGGAACAAAAAAACAGAAACTAATGAGAGGTACGTTAATGAAGAAGTGATGCATGAATCGTAAAGAATTTACCTCGAAAGCCGGCCATTCCGTTTGTGCGTCTTTTCCATTGATAGAAGACCATGCTTGGAGGTCGCTCGTCAAGACGTTCTCGTCGCACGATCGTAGCACGCTCTCTAGATTTGAATGCAGTTGAGCAAATCTAAATAATTAATCGGTTTTCTCGTGTGAAGACCATTATTGAAGGCATAACACTCTCAAAAATTAACGACTAAAGAAATTTATGATGTTCGCGCCATGTTTCTCATCACAGAATATAACGGATTTTATGAGTCCTTTTCACGATCATAGCGCGATGGAATATGTCGACGTTACAGAGATCCGTAAAGTTCAAGAAGTGTAGAGTTCGCTAGTACAATCCACTCATAAACCACTCATAGACTATTAAACAGATAAATAAAATTACAATTAAACCTAAACGAATACTTCACTGTTCAGTTCAACTTAACTTTCCACAACTGTACACATTTCTATATTATCATTAATAATCAGCCTTATAATCAAGGTATGCTAATCGGACTTAACGTTTTTATAATCAAATGAATCGGATCTAAATAGTTTTGAGAACGTCCTCGTCAAAAATAAGGCGCCTTAAATAGTTTTAAGCTCAATTCTAATTCATTCCGGCTCTTATACAAATTTCTCGAGCTGTTTTCACGACAGACTTTTACATGACAGCCCCAACGCTATCCTGAACATGAAGGGATAGAAGCACACTATGTTTCTTTTCTTTACCAATGTGCATTAGTTGAGAAATCTTCTGTAAGGTTGTTGAGAACATCAATTATTACCTAGCTTAACTTTATAGTGCGAGGGTTTTATTAAGGCACCAAGAATAACGCCTAAAAATACCCGATTACTAAGAACTATCAGCAGAAAAAGTGGTAAAATATCTTAGCAGCACTTATTTTAGCGCTGTGAAAATCTTTAAGGTAAGACGTTTCTGAGGCACCAATTATCGCTTAGTTTTTGTATATGTTCTCTTTCTACATTTCCTATCTGTCCAATTTTTGCAGGTGTCCATCTCGACCATATATTTATTAACTGATGGTTTTTCGAATAATCTCCACATCAGATTCGATTTCTCTTATCTTGTTCACCTGTTATCTACCTTCGATCACAGATAGGTTTTCTTTGTGCGACTGTCGCCACGATATTATACCTTGCACCGAAGATGCACTTTGCCTAGTACGGCGCCATCGTCTCACAAATCATACGACTCTTCATTCACCGCTTTAAAGAATTCATAAAGTAATGTGAGTACTCCGAGATATAAGAAACGAAGCAAAAATTTAGATGTTCAAAAAGCTCCCTATGCTATTGAGTTCTCCGTTCACTACGAGAGTAGGCGAATATGCTTTCAATCCACCAAACCCGCCGTTATGAAAGGTTTCGTTCAAAGTGGGCAATACCCAAACGTGCAAAATCATTTCCTACAGTACCAAACACCATTTTATTTCTTCTCTAGCACTAACTTGTTATTTCGAGCCAAATCAACAAGCACTTGTTGTGTGGCGGACATCATTTCGACGAGAAATTTGCTGCGTTTCATTTCCATTGCTTGGCACTTTTCGAATTCATACGTCATGTCTTCGATATAAGGAGCCCTGAAATTCTTCAGATATAATTCAGTAACAACGGCTTCTAAACGACAGCTACCGTAAAGCTTCAACCTTTACGATGTGTTTGCTTAGTGACATACAACATTTCCTGGTAATATTACAGAGAACTGTTGTTAGTGCGCACTTAGCTGCTTTACGACGCTACATGGAAAGATAACAAGGAGCCAAAAAACATCTACTTAATGCTTTTAAGAAGTGAGGAAGAAACACTGATATAAATTCTCTTTTCAATCATTCCAATGACCACTGCGCCTATACCACAATAGGTATAATGCTGTACACATTGGTCTCATACAGCTCTTTCAGCGCAGGAAGCACAGATACTGCTAATATCTAAGAAAAAATAAGAAGTGCTTGAGAAAATGTAGAATCAAAAATATATTACTGTATGTTAGAAAAAAACTATGGAAGAAAGATAGAAAAAGAGAAAAGATGTAATAATACTAAGGAGTATGAGTATGTAAACGCTAGGTTGTTCGGAAATCAAAGCAAAATTTCAAACCTGCACCTTTAAGACAGTATATCTCAGCTCAGAATAAACTTTATCGGTCTTACCAAGAACCATTGGGATGTACAAATCTTTGCCAACAAGAAGCAAGTTTATTTATCCTGCTTTCTTAAAACTCTGGAGAACTGGAGGCGATGAAGTCGTTGAAGGAACCTTCGGCCTTGGCTTCGTCTCTGAAACATTTTTCATATAGGTTCCCGACATGTTGGAAGAAATGGTATTCGGTAGACGAAGGCCACGAATGTATGGTGGACGAGGGGGAGATTCGTTGCCCAACTCCTCCAATCTTCGCTTTGGTAGAGCGACGTCTTGCCAAATTGTATGGCATTCATTCATCGAGCATCTTCGACTTTCAAATCTTCTTTGGATGTTACGAAACACTTGACGCGAGAACTGCGACTCCTCGAGCAGTTGCTCCTCTATTTACTCTCAGCAAAGCTTCCAATTCACCGCCGTCTATAACAGAAGAACACCCACGGCGCTCCTCACCTTCAACGTCGAATTCACCATCACAAAATTTTCCAAACCAACGTTACACTACTGTGAATTCGTCAACACTATCTTGGCCCCATACCTCTTCGATCTTCAGAGAGGTCTGCGATGAATGAAACCGATTTTGAAATCGTAGATCCAGATCTGTCGAAGTTGCTGTTTTAGCATCTCAGTTTCTAACCCATAAGATTTGCCGAAAATACACTTTATGTTGCAATTCAACTACACGCAGCGAAAACCCACAAAACAAGGTTTGAGTTGATGTGTAATAATATAACATTCAAAAATAAGCTGTTGTTAAAACATAAAAAAAGTAAAATTACAAATCCCTCGATTATTTCCAAGCAACCCAATACAATCAGAAATTTTTAGAGGGGAACCATATAAATGTTATTTTTGAATAAATGGTTAAGACGTAACTCAATTATATCCGTGGTACCACCTCGATAGGTTGAAAAATTAAGGCATCACTTTCATGTTTTCTGTTAATTCAATGTCAATAAGATCTCTCAGTCTACGAATCAATTACCACACTAGTGGACCATTTAAATTAAACTTTATGATAGAGAGTAGATGTTTTCCCATCCAATTAGAGTGACTGGGCATCAACGAATTGCTCAAGTCTCGATATGAAGTCGTCGAAGTTAAGAAAGCGCTTCCCGTGAAAGGAATTTTCACAGCTCGTAAAAAACCAGATGGTGTTGTTGCTGTGTTCGAGCTATACTTAGAATATGGAACCGCTTTCCAGTTTAGCGTTTCCAGTCGTGAAGAAGTCGTCGTAGATGAGTGCTTTCGAGCCATTAAGGGCGCAAACTCGAGCTTAACATGACCACTTTTTCCACAACATTGTACAAACAAAATTGTTCCTAATAGGGCTTGCCTCGTGAGTTACACTAGCAGCACAACAAAACGTTATGATAGTGTGAATTCAGAATAGGCCGATTTAGCGACTGTTCTATCTGTTGCAATTAAAAAGAGGGCATGTCTTGACGCGACTGAAGCAGTGAGCTCTTATTTAATGCCATTATGTTTAGAATTCCTTCTATTGTAAGCATGGGAGAACAACAATATCAAACTGACACCTGAGCAACTTCTCGTGTATTGTGAAACCGATTATTCCAAGTGCTCTCGCAACTACTGCGTCGTGGTAGATGTTCTTCTGGCTGGTTTTGTAACCTCTCATCAAAGTAGAATAGTGGAAGATAATTGAAGATATGTCAGCTTTGATGCTCGTATATTTCGACGCTCATGTCATGACAGGGAAGCGCTACAAATAATGGTCGGCCATGCCTATTCGAGGTGTACATGACGTGATATGATATCCTATACGGAGCAGGTACGTCTAGCAGACGATTACTCGATTTCCATACTTAACCACACAAAAAATCCTGTAGGGGACTTTACTATGGAGAGTCTAAGGGCTGTTTGAAATTCAAGAAAGAAAATTTTAACGCTTAGTATGTAAACAGCTTCGACCAGCACATTTAGATACAACACTTCTGTCTCGAAAAAGAGCCGTAGCGCAAATTAACAAACCAAAAAAAACCAAAATTTGCCTAAGCTACATGTCATATCAGCGCATAGGCTCGTTTGTTTCTTTCTATAACTACCGATTTCAAATGCCATCTTGCCAGCATCTATTCCATAGTAAAAGTCGACCAGTAAAAAATGTTGTCAGTATCTATTCCACAGGGAAATGCGACCAGTGAAAGAAAAAGTTAAGAAAATCATTGAAATATGGTTAGCAGAGTCTGCACGGCATGACAAATTTTATTTTACGCACTTGCTTTTTAATAGGGATCAGATATAACTACGCTTCAAAATTCCGTTTAACAAAGACGGTCAAAAACTGGATAGAAAATTCCCATTCCTGTTCAAGAGAATACCCTGCTTCTATAAGCAACAGAACTCAAAGCGCAACATTTATCAAGGTCAGAAATAAGAGAAAATGGCGCACGGAACAGAGAAAGAAGAAGGCAAGCGCAGTAAGGTACGGCTGAACAGTAAATAATAGCTTCCAACACCTTTGTTTTTTAATGAATGTCGGAGTTAAGCTATAATGAAAAACATATACGAAGCATTTTACAAAGTTGGAAAGAAAAAAATATTTCCAACTTAGAAAGTCGAAAAACGGCAAGATCACAGCAAATGGAAACTGCAGAATTACCAAAAAAAAACAGCAAGACTGCGTCATAAAGCTATCTAACAGCTTTAAACTCTCGTAGATCAACGAATGAAAAGAAGAGTCGGTGAATAAACATACCTGTACTGGGTGATTTCTGAAATATTCTTTTCATAAGCAGATTTAAATTTGCGTACGTCCTCACGACATTTCTCTAGTCGATCACGCAGCTTTTGTGTGCCATCTTGTGACAACGACAGATCAGCCTTGAAAATGCAGAACATGGGTCGAGGTTCTTCTAGTGCAAAAGATAACCACTCGTACCTGGCTGTTACTAAGATTCACTAAAGCAGATTTCTCCTGACGACACGCATTGTAGTACGTCTTCTTGCTTAATTCAACTTTTTCGTAAAGTTTCCTCCACTTTCTCTGAGCCTAAAGTACGAGGAAATGGAGGCGAACTTGCTTAATTTCATATAGAACATTCCATATTCGTGACCGTATGAATCAAATGCGGTTTAGACGGTGCAAAAATTGTAGGTGCTTTATGTTCAAAAGCAGTATATCTCAGGTAAGAGTATACTTTTTAGTTGAAATAAAAACCAATAGAATCCAGGTTTTGCAAACAACATACAGGTTTTTCTATTATACTGAAATGAAATTCTGATTTCTCGAAACTTCTCAAACAGTTTACCGCTTTTTTGCGTCAACGCTCGTGTTTTGAATATGAAAGCAATTGAACAACAGAGTTTCGTCGAGAAAGACATAACGATGTTTTGGGCTTGTGGCTGTCTAATACTTGCAATAAAAAATTCAAAAAATTAATTTCCCCAACGAAATTCTTGATAAACTTAATTGTAAGAAAACTCGGAATTAAAAGAATGCATTATGTGAAATTACATATTTGGATATTTGGATGGCTCGTCCTCACTGGTTGTGCGGGCCCTAGCATAATCTCTACTTTTCGGAGTTTTGCTGGTCTAGCTATTGCGGTTCCCTGGAGTCTCGAGGTCAGCTTAGCCAAAGTCTGCCACGGGTCGTCACCACCACAGACGACTGTCGCCGTTGTGGATCAGAGGATCAGATCACCTTTGATGGAAACTACATACACCCTTGAATTTAGATTTATATAGAAAAAACTTCTTTCTGTAAGTCTACGAAGTCCTCAACTCTTTAACTACTGAAGCGATATTATGAGCATCTATTGAAAAACCAATGTAATATTGAACAATGTACCTTATTTCATTGATAATCTAAGACGAGGTTGTTAGTGAAAGTTCATTCGGCTGTTCGGTTTTCCATCATCTTCCTTCGAGTAGGAAGAGTAAGATGAAACTAGACGAATAAACTCTGAGGAAGACACGTCGAAACATTAGCCGAATAGACTTTTAGTAACAAGCTCGCCTTAGTTTTTCAACGAAATAAGGTACATTAATTCATACGGAGGTTAAATGAAAGTCGGTTCAGAACAATGATGAACGTTTTAACAGCACTCGTTTAAAACAAATCTTTTCCATATTTGCTTTAATCGAACTAATAACTTCAGGGTTTATTTCCATAGTAAATACTTCACTTCCTATAAAAAGTACTAACTTCCTGTGCATGCAATCGCTAAGCTTAATGGCACCTGGAGTCCTCACATTATCTGCGAAATCTGAAACTAGAAAGCTGGGTGTTTGCAAAATTATTAATTGTGTGAGTGAAATTTGTGCTAGGATGTTAATACGAGGTTAAGAAGACGACTGGAAGACTGCGTTTACGTAGCAATATGTTGCGAAGTTTCTATAATAAACATCATAGTAACACCGACTTGTAGGCCTATCAATAGCATGAGGGAATACTTACTGATCAATACTTAGTTTTATACAAAATTAGCCCTAGAAGCTTCATATGAACCCTAAATGTTGTCAGGTTAATATGGCAGCAATGTTGGTGAACCGTATGACGCTTATCCCGAGTTCAAACAGAGGTAACCCAAAGCGACTCGTAAAGCGCACGCCTCAACAAACATGTGGACCGAAACAGTGGTCAACACCACGCGCGAACGAGTTCAACGTCCAAGATGATGGGGAAAGCCAGGAACTGAGAATGATACCATTCGTGAAAAGCAAAAACATGGTATTAAATCAAAGTCCACATAGGTCAACTGTACAATTTCGAGAGGGATCATTTTTCAGCAATAAATATTCTGACAAATCTTAGACTTAAATCTAAGCACTTCAGAATGAAAAATTACTGATTACAAAGTAAACATCAGATACTACATCACTTCCCCTTCTGTCGCCACAAAACCTCAGTATGATTCTGATGAAGCCCTCAGACCGCAAAAGCTTTCTCTGACCATCCGCTTAAAATATAAAAAGAAAACGAAAAAAATGAAAGAAAATAAAATGCTCTATAATTGCTAGACACTTCCAATATAGGATTATGAGAGAACTGCACATTGAATAACGTATATGTTCATGATTTCTAAGTTCCACCGACGTCCTTCGCAAGAAATTAATGATGAAAAAGCTGTGAATGTTACGAAAAAAAGCTAGATCGGAGAGGAAGATAGCATGAGATAATCATAAAGTATAGGAGAGATTCTTAAAAACAATTGAAAATTGCTGCTCGTCACAACGCCATGCTGTGATGGAGGTTAAGCGTGAAGCTCATCGTGTAGAATTAACGATGTTGTCAATGCGGTAAGAAAGCGGAATTAAAAACGAAGAAATAAAACGTTCAGCTTTGATGGATTCACTGGTGGTGCGCCATGTATTCCATTCCATTTGTACCATCGTAGGGATGACTGAATTCATATCAGGCCTATATAATGACTCGCAGGAACCAACCGATGTATTGGGTCAGTTTTTTTCATCCTCCCAGACAAGTTAGGTACTAGTTTGCTGACCTTTAAGGGATGAAGAGCTTGGTTTGCCTGGAGGTCAGGGTTGAACAAACGATAATATGTGCCTTGCCATGTGTGACAACTCTAAACTCTGCACTACAGAAGCCTAAAACAAGTGTTAGCATATAACAATACAATATAAGTTTATTGTTACACCATAGTCTCATTATGAAGTGAAATTCCGCACAGCACAACGGTAGCAGATCGTAATTGTTAAACTAGTTCCTCCAACATTAAAACCACTGAAACGTCCTACAAAACCAGCTTTGCTTTCCTAAGTGTTCAGGTCCGTCCGTGATGGTGCAAACACACTTCTGCATGCCATTGTTAAGTGTTAAGTGATAATATAAGGAGAAATGTATAAAAAACGAGTTCCGACAACATGGTAAGGATTGGCGAATATATATTATTACTTCAATACTTGGATGGCCCGTCTTCACTGGCTGTGTGGGTTCCAGCACAATTTTCATTTTTTTGAAGTTTTGTTGGTTTAGCCACTGTGGTTCCCTGGAGTCTCGAGGTCAGCATACCCAAAGTCTGCCTCAGATCGTCACCACCACAGGTAGTCGCCACCCGTGTGGATTAGAGGGGGGTTTACCACTATGCGACTAGCTTGATAGCAGAACAGTGGTGAATCCTGGTACTGGTTTACTCCTAGCTAGGTTACCTGATCGAAGCGCCGGACTCCTTCTCAGCTTTGGAGATCTTGCTGGGAAGATGAGACCCCCTGCTGTACATTGCAGTCCCACACCCAGGAACACCTCCCAGCCACGATGAGGCAGTAAACCGTTGGGAGGAATATATATTATTACCAATGGAAAAAACTAGTACAAAACATAAGCAGAGGAAATAAACCAGGAAGTCCTTGTATAAAAAAGGCGACCATGTTTTTAATCAATACTAACATTCCTTTTCTATTCCTTTTTTTCTATCTTTTCCTTTCCTTTCTTTCCTTTGAAATTATGTGCGAAAAGTTAGCATGTTTGCTAGAACTTGTCCTCCTCTCTAAGCACCACAAGAACTTCATAAGTGGTTGTCGAACAACGGACTTCGCTATAAAAACATACAGTGTCCCACGCTGACACTTAACGTCATTGATGAATTTCTAAAACGAAAAGTGCGATGTTGGTGAAAAGTAGACGCCTAACGAAGAAACTGGAAACCTTTTCTCGCGCGGAATCAGCTTTTTACATCTATTTGCTATTTGGTACCGTCATTGCAATCAAACACAAGAAGTTAAGCACTATAGGAAAACGAAAGAAACAAGTACACGCCCTAAATGTATGAAAACAAAAGTAATTACAGAGTCGTCATTGATTTAATATCACGGCATCATAAAAACATGAGAGGTTACCGCTACCACACCAGCTATCCGCGTTGACCTGTGGTTCAACTACCAACAGCAAAGCGATACTCTGCATGATCTTATTCTGCTATGTGATAGATACAAAGAAAAGAAGGTAATGTGTAAACGTGTTCCAGCAACTAACAAATGATTGTCCACTTCAGAGACTACATTTAGTAGCTGCGGAAGAAATTAAGGCAACTCGTACGCTACTAAGGTCGCACACAGGAAACGCACCGATGGCATTGGATTGAATATGTAGCGATTAGACTAGTCTATTTCCATCAAAGAAATACCATTGAGGATTCGACAACAAGAAATGGGCCCATTAGTTAGACCTCAAATCTTCCAACTTTACTGATAAATAAATCAAAATTAAACGGAACATAACATATTTCTCGATATTTGCGAATGCACGCCTCCTTAAAGAAACTGGTACAGAATTACGCGCAAAGGAAAGAAAATACTGTCTTAAGATAGCAGCAAAAAAAAGGATAAAAATTCTTACATGGATTTTATCGACACTTCAGCAAAAGAATTAATCTTCAAAAATGCCAAACGTCTGTAAAACTTGAACGATTAGAAATTATCCTATTAAACAATTATGAAGCACGTGTGCTATAAAAGAGCTCTCTTATTTAAGCATAAAGAAGAAAGCCGCTCAAGGACCTCCGGTTTCGAAATCGTTAAAAAAAGGTGAGAAGGTAAACCACTTACCCTCTCAAATCCTTCTTCGGCTTCACGGATCTCTTTTGGAGCGCGAAAAGCAGACGGGTGATAATTTTCCTTTCGATAAAGTGCCAGTGTTTTGAGGACCTGATTAGAAGCAATGGTTATACAAGTATCTTCAGATAGGCTAAAAAATTGAAATAATGAAGCTAGACACTCCATAGCCATCCAAGCACCTCATGCTATCACCTCTTCATAAGAATTCTTCATAATTTAACTTTAAAAGTATTTCACCTCGTCCATAAGTCGATCCTTTACACGATTATGTTGAACTGATACGGCATCTGCTTCTCCCAAAATTTGCAACCAAGCTCTCTATAATTAAGGTAACTGACAAACAACCGCATGACAAAGTTCGAGGAGATTTCACTCTACTTAAACGTAGATAAAACAGCAGAGATAGCAACGATTTGAAACTGACGAATTGGCAATTGGTCAGCTAGGCCTATCAAGTAGTTTGTCAATGGGAAAACTTCGTTTCGGCAACGCTATGGAGCAATTTTCAACTAAGAAATTAAAGGTGATGTAAAAAGTTACAAAGATGCATTCTAAACTAAATTATGACAAAAAATAATGAAATAAACCAAATATTATTTAATGAAAGCCATATTGGCGTTTTTTCCTTAAGATTCATCGGCGAAAAATAGACTGCGAACTCTTTTCATATGCGTCGTTTTCTTGTTCAGCAATCGCGAGGTTTTTAAACAGCATACATTTACTTTCATAGAAAAACACAATACAATACAACACTAGCTGACGTTTCGGCGGTTTCGCCTTCTTCAGAGCCTGGAAGGGTATACTGATATACAATCTACTAGGCCAAACGCTTCAATAACACTTACAAAAAGACGAAAAACTCTATGGCGTTTACATGATCAACAGCTTCTTGAAAAACTCACAGCTCTTTACGTGACTTCCAATGAGGAAGTTTTCCTTCCAGATGATACGAAAGTTTTAAAAAAACGTTAGATCGAAAATTTTATCAACAAATCAGCAACTTTATAACGTCTTCCCAGGTAATTGTCTATGAATTACCTTAATGGATCCAGATGACACTGCTCGTTCCACATGTGCTTTCCATTTCTCAGCGAATTGTTGCATCGTCTTACTGTATTTCGCCTCAATATCAGCTCTTTCGCGGGCCATTTTCATAAAATCGTCCAATTCATCAATGCCGTCCTGGAATCGATCCAATCTAACGAATAAAGGCGATGATTTCGGCTCAATTCAGTGTCGTTGGCTTCCACTTTGCGATTTCCACAAATAAGCTTACCTCTATTACAGAAAGAACAGTTTTGAAGACATTGTCAGGTAAATATTACAAAAAGTGTACTCATCACTAATTGCCACGACTCATTCATTCTAAGGCATTTCAAGTCCAGTAGCTCGTTGCGCAATCTCTACGAACAATTCGAAACAGCGTAGACAGTTATCGTCTAATGTAATAATAAGAACGATAGGAACTTGTTCGATATATCATTGAAACTATTTTGTAGCTGCGTTACTGTTAGTGTGCACAAGTCTAATAAATGATGAAGCTGATACCTCAAGCAGCTCGGTAGGTGGATGATTAATAACAAAGGGCTTACTGTTTCAACAGAAACTAATTTTTGACTTACAAACGCGGTTTTCAAACTTCCACGAAAATATTGACAAGAATGAGTGCTTTACAAGTCTTAACAGAAATCGTAAAATGTTCTACTACGTTGGCCAACTTATCTATTAAACCCTTATGAAACTTGGATTGAGTAATGTGGGCTCATGACGGTAGTTAATCTATCTTTCCCAATGTTTTCTTACAAAACATCAGCACAACACAACATTAGCATCAGGTCCTCAGCTAACACTATCCTTCTAGTTGAAAAACGAACTGTGGCCGTCGTAACCATTTCTATTTTAGAAAGGAAAAACGAATAGATTCTAGTAGAAAGGTAGAAAATTGTAAGAACACTCACTAACCTTTATACGACGAACGTTATTTTTGTAAGCTCCGATTTCCCAGAAACCCGGAGCCAACACGTCAGCTGCCATGCTGAAAATATGGGAAAGCTTTGCACTTTTCAGATACAAGGAAATCATGCAAATTAGAGAAAAGGAAGCATAAAGCACCGACGACAATGGAATCTGGATTGATTAAGCAGGGGTGTGAGGACGGCGGAACGCATACTTAACGAATGCTAACGCTAGAACTAGAAAACAAATAAGGACATGAAAGAAGTTAGTAGGAATAGATAACACTTATAAAATATCCACAGAGATCTAAAGTTACGATGAATCAATGCCAAATCACTATCACAATGCTGAATAGACAATTAGAATCCGAATGAATGAAAGCTTTACGGAAGTCGGCCGCAAAGTCGATCAATGACGGCAGAAACGAGTTTCTAACACATTATTATATTACTCATCCCTATTAGAAAACAAAGGTTGAGGTGAGAGAATCATGAGGGTGGAAGAAGAAGGAAGACACTGGGATCGGCATTGTCAAGAAATGAGGCGATAGATGAGTAAGGTACACTAGTGAAGAGTAAACATAGTTGTTAATGAGTTAGTCACAATCTGCGAAATGAGCTTTGAATCTATTCAAACGCACACGCGGATGAGAGTGGGTCTGAGGCCGGTACCGCCTTTGAAAAACTACAGCCAGACATCGGCATGACATTCAACGATTCACGGGCGATTACCGACACCTACTCAACCGTATTCAATTTCGCTTCTTTCCAATTTTTCTATTTGTTCTTTCGGATTTACTCCACTCCAAGAAAAAAACCTATTCAAAGTTTCTGGAAAGCAATATCTAACGAAATCCATCCAGTGTTCCTCAAATGAAAGTAATTATGTCTAAACTACAGAGTGACTAACGTAGTAAGCACAGAGTAGTATCTTCATATTTAGTCTTTATTCTACCGTTAATTCATTGGATAACTGTTTGATCAACAGTAATCCACTATAATAACAACAACAAAATAACCTATAATGAACTACTATGGAAGCAAAAAGTCGAATTCTTCTCACAGAGAACACACTGAACAAGAAAAAGTACGTAAGACGCTTGAAAGTTTGAAAATAGCTAGTTATTTCATCTTCTACTATTCCATGTCAGTGTTTCCTTGAAAGGACTAACAGGCCAACTTTTCGTCTGTGAGTACGACAGGGCCTACGATCCTTAAGAGGAGAATATTTTCAAATCCATTCTAGAATGTTGGAGAAATATTTGACACATTCGAATAGCCTCCTTGATTATCTATGTTAAGAGCCCCAATTTACCACCACCGATAATCCCGTTAATCACCGACAATAGAAACATTCGAATTAAAAGGTAAACGTTCCATTTAAAAAAAAACAGTCATAAAAACATCCATGAATTATACTAACCTTAATTCTGTAAGATTTTTAACGTTTTCATCTGTGCCGTCTAATAAATTGCCAATTGATAGCCAACAGTTTTCGATAATTACCGATGGCTTTCGGTAACTGAAGCGATTGAGGTTAAGGATTTAATGGACTTGTAGAAAAAGCTTCACCTCACTATTTTAAAGGCTTAGAGTCGAAATAAATTTAGAAAAAATACAACGAATCATCTAAGGTTCTTAATTTTTCCGCGAACGCGCGGTATCCATGAACAACAGTACCGCAGCGCATTGGGGAACACCATCGAGCTCCATACAGCCGCGGGAAATAACAGATTCGACGAGGACAAAAATAGGAAGAACAAAAAACATATTTAATGAGCTCCGAAAAAGAAACTCAACGTTGTAGAATAAGAAAGCTTGTACTATATTGACAGAAATCTGCAGATTACAGCGACTTTTACTTCAAGTGACATCAGAAAATCCAGCAATATTTGTTAGAAGTTAAAATATGCAACTATTTACGGATACGTATGTGTTCAAATCAATACATTTCGGTCATTAAGTGCTAAAGAGGAGTTTGAAATTTCGGTGACCTTAGAAGGAATTATTCCGCCACCGCCACAATGACAACGCTTCCTTGCAAGGCGATACAACTGGTTCGACTCACAAACATGCTGGTTCGGCTGCTCGAAAAAAAGCGCCTTAGCACAACGAAAAGTATAATTATCGATTGATTGCAGGGTTCTTTAAGGTAACTGGTAACGTACACTGTAACAAAGAACAGCACTCAGGAACTCGTTTGAAGCTATTAGCTTTTTCTTTTTGCTTTTGCTACAGAATCACACTATAGAAATGACCATTCGTAGAAACTAGAAAATAATTCAGATATAGCTTTATGTTTGCACTTGGATCCCATATTTTTGTAAGCGTCCACATAGCTCTTGTACGACTACGTAAATAGTAAGAAGTAAAAGTAAAACTATTTTATGGCATGTAGAGTTCTAGAAACCGACAAGTTAAATGGGTGCTCCAAAACTTGACAACGTCCACACAAGTCTCATTAGAAAAGAAGAACACTAAAAGAAGTAACAGCTATAGCGACCAAAAAGTTGGCATGCACTGGATAAAGTATTGAAAACGACTGAATTTGTTCCATAAAAAGATAAGTAACTTCCTAATACTGTAGAAATAACTAGACGCTAGCAAAAAACATTCGCTATAGAAGGGTGTAACTAGAGAATGAGGGCATTATCATAACGAATGACTATCACCTTCCAGAAATTAGTATTTTGGTGATCAATGTGATTGCCGTGTGTGGTGGAAAGGAAGAAGCTTGGCGCACGTACTGAACAGATTAGCCGCAACGAGAAGCGGCAAAAGCCAACAGAACATCGCGTCAAAACAAAAGCGATGCTAATCCGTTCATCGTACAAATCGTACCATACCGTCACGAAGTGACCGCATGCGAGACTGAACCTCCAAGATGAGGTTGGTGCACGATGAGGTTGGTGCACGATGAGTGTGTGTGAGCGAGGGAAAAGCGCGAGTGTTATGCAGTAAGTGGCCAGAAGGTGGGCAAAAGTGAGGTCTTTGGACTTAAGTGACGGTGTGTGGTGATCGGTTGAATACGACAGAGACGCAGAGCTTTGAACAGTGTGAAATCGTCCTACGCGTCGTAACATTAGTTCTGAAAGGACACGTAACCGGCACATTCGAATATTTACAGCATCTGAATAAAAGCATAAAATCCTAACACAATAGTTTTCCACGATTATGAAGCACTATGGAAAGCATTCGTTTCTCTGAGAATCCACCACTTCGCGACCTTTTTTCTCAAAACAGGTAACCCGTCGCGCGATAGCGCACCTTCTGCGCTGATGGTATCTTTCGACCTAGATGTACCTCACCAAAAACTTCTCCAACAGAAGGAAAATACGGATATAAAAGGGCCTATATACCTGGAAACGTTCTTTCTTATGAGAAATCTAAATACAATGTTCAAAACAGAGTATTCTAAAGTACGTACAACGTTTTTAGAAGTACTATTGAGAAGAATGTTAAATTTGTAATGTTCAGGCAAAGTATACTTAATGGATGGTATGGTAGATGAGGCATTCTAGATGATGAGACAACCAAAACGTTGCTCAGTTTATTAGTTCAACCGCAAGAGGTCCTCCAAAAAAAGCACATCACACGGTAAGTTCCTAAAGGTGACTTTACAACACAAAACAAAGGTGTAAGCTTTGCTAGGCGATTAGTAGGCGAACTGCAAGAAACCGAATGTGCTTACCAATATGAGACTGGCTGACACACCATGGTTGAGAGGAAGTTGTATGCTAATTAGTGACGAGAAAGACAGACCGACAAATGAAGAGAATAAATGAAGATTTCGTGTCGATTACAACGTCCAACTGTTGATGGACGATAATATCAGAAAAGAATCCGTCGCTTTTAAATATTCCTGCAACGACAACAACAACTTCAGACAACGTAAGCAGTAAAATCAATAAACGAACAGAAATAGACTAAATGAAGAAACAAAGACCAACAAAAAATATTGTGTAGTTTCAATGAAAAAAGAAAACATAACTGTCACAGAACGGTTGCCATAGGAACGAAAATTTCTATGCTGCCTTGTTCCACTATACATCATCATCATGACAGACACATTTCCAGAGAATTTAGTTAGGATGAGACCCATAAATCTTCGTTCTACTACCAATATAATACCGGCCGTAACATAGAGATAAAGTATAATATGAAAAAATATAGTTGAAGTCAAACATTGTGTAAGATTTGACACAAAAACAAGGTCGTACAGAGGGTTAGATTCATTGGAATCAGACAGAAACTGGTAAAAACTTGGATCAGTCGCGTGATACCCAGCCCATCATCCCCCATTTCTTCTACAATTTATGACTGGTCCGAAATAACAGACATCCCAACCCATGTGGATGAGCCTTAGAGAGATCACCTCCGATTGACTGATTATGAAAAGGGTTCGCCGTCGTTGGAGGTTCGTCTGATGGATAGCGATAACGTATTCATTCAAATGGAAAATTCTAATTCAAGACCGTTAGATACACAATAATGACCACTTGTGTTCAATCGCAGCTTCAGCAGAGGTCTTCTCAGGTCTTGTGTTCGGAAATTTAAATCGGCACTAGACCCTATGCGACACCCGCCGACAACGTTGCTATGGAATGATTTCTCCCTATTAGAAAATTCCGTCAAGCCTTAACTACCACGAATCACGCATTCTATGGAAAATACATTCAATTGCAGGTAGACAGTTAATTCACCACTGTGCATTCATCTTCTCGTAAGATTCAAATGTGGATGATCATTTACTCTAAAACCGGATTATTAGTGCATAGCAAGTCGTCATAATGTAAGACTAAGAAGGGAAGTGGAATCCACCTCATAACGTGGACTAGAAATTTTAGAAACATGAAAGGACAAGGCCTTCTCAGAAAGGCAAAAAATTCCTCTTCAACTTAATTCAAATAGGGCCTTAATATCAAGGAAAATAGTCAGAAAGTGACTAGAAAGAAATTAAAGGACTACCGAAAGGCTGGAAATAACGCCAACTTGTAATAATCTTTGATGGAAAACTGAAACAAACTTCGGGCCATAATTAATAATTTTTGTTTATTTGTTTCATTTTAGACCTGGAAA